TTTATCTGCTCTTAATTCTTTTCCTTATGTATTTTATTCTCTGTCATAGCTTGATGATTCTCAATTTTTATTTAAAGCAATTGCCTTCTATTGATAGGAAGAATTAAGGAAAACTTAATTAATTAAGTTTTACCAGATTAATTTCCCGCCCCTCCTGTTATAGAGAAAAAGGCAATGAATTTGATAGCTTGCCTTAATGGGCTTTATATGGGTCATTAAAGCATGATTCCATGGATTCACGAAATTAAGGATTACCAAAACAAGTTGGATACTGTGAAGCTTTAAAAGGGGCATCACGATTACAGGGATGTGGATTACTCTCCAAACAGTTTAAAATTATATTTTCTTCTTCTTGGTGTGACTCTCGGTTTAGAGAGAGAGAGAAGGTGAGAGAGAGAGAGAGAATTCTTTCTTGTAAGTCGACGTGGTCGACGGTGTAATCCTCAAAGCTAATAAAATCCTCTGCAGCTCCGTGGACGTAGGCAAGTTACTGAACCACGTAAATCTTGTGTCGCATTTTTCTGGTGTAATTTTCTCGATCTATTTTTCGTTTTATTTGCCGTCGTTTTTCATAACACAAAAAAGTTTGAATTGATTTTTTTGGGTCAATTTTGAGTTGTACGCGGATCGGCTCGAACTGACTTGAGATCAGCTCAAATTATTTTTTTATTTATAAAAATCATATGCAATGCTAAATAAAATCAAATATAATAACTCAGCACAATTTCCTTTTTTTGAGGGCTCTTAATCAATACATTGAGATTCTTCGCTTTGTTTCCAATCAATATGCTACGAATTAGAGCACAAATTATCACAATTTACATGAAATGATTTCTTCAAGGTCAAGGTTGTAAGAAAAAGGTTGTCATAAATTAAACTTTGTGACCAATTTTACAATGAATGCGGGTTGTCCATAAAAGTGTGAATTTGGCTCAAAAATTGATTCGAATTTTAACTCGAATCAAGTAAGCAAGCCGAGCTATAAGTGTAAACTTTGGATCGAATTTTTTTCACGACCATTTTTAACTGTGATATATATATATATATATATATATATATATATATATAATGAAATAAAATAATTTTTAGATATTTTAAAATTAATTATATTTTAAATTAAAACATAAATATATTAAAATAAAATAAAAACAGAAAATAAAACCCAAACGTAATATTTTTACCCTCGACACAGCGCAAACTAACAACCAAAGCTCACCAGAAAAAGGGGATACCGGAGGAGTTATTCCGGCGGGCGAAGCCGGCGGCGTTCCGGTCATCGGCGAAGAGTATCCCGCCGGCTTCTTTATCATAATACTTCTGGTCACCCTCAGCATCTCCTCCGGTAAATCACCGCCATAGTCTGCGCTTAGTTTTGGAAGAAATTAAGGGGAAAAAAAAAACACAATTTTGAGAAGAAAGAGACGATTAGTGGTCAGCTTACCCTTTCCGGAATTTGGCCGGAAGGTGAGAGGAGCCGGTTTCCGGAGGCGGCTGAGGCCCGTCTCCGGCTGAGGTCCGGCGAGGGTGTCGTCCCACAGAATGTCAAGAAGGCCCATGAAGATTTTTTTTATTACGTAACTGCCACTGATATGGAATGGTAGGAGTAAGTGATTGAATGAATGCAGGTCTTAGGAAGATATTTATAGAGCTTTTTTACTTTAGAAGATATTTTTGGTATTAAATTTGTTTTTATTTAATTTCTCAGGAGTTTTACACAAACACCACTCATTGTTTTGAGAAATTATTTCATACGGATACCGCATGTAGAGATGTATTTACTGTCAGAACGCCACCGTCGATCACCTAATCAATTTTTTTATAAAAAAAAATATTGAAAGTGGGGTCCACTAAAATACATCTTTGACGTGATCGACGATGAAAGATCGTCTGCATGCAGTGTCCTTATGAAATAATTTTTCCAATGTCTTCGTATTTACAAATCTTACACCTAAATTTTACGAAAAGTAAAACACTTGATGTGTACGTAAAAAATTAAAATTTTGGTGTTAGATTTTTAAATATATGTAAATCTTTGTCTTATTTTTTAAAACTTAAAATTTTGACATTTTTTTGAAATATTTGGGTGTTCTAAATGTGAAAATACAATTTTAATATTAGATTTGTAAATACATAAAAATTGGGAGGTATGCATGTAAATGTCCTTTTTTTCATATTTATAAGACATTAATTAACCTCCACGTTTATTATTTACATGAAAAAATTGTTTCAAAAAAAAAAAAAAAAAGAGGTTTTTGTGAATGACTTGCAGATGAAGGGATTAATGGGCCCACCAAGAGGAAAAAATATCTCTCTAATATGATAAATTCCAGCTGTATCTTTTTTGATTTATGCTAATTAAGAAAATCTAAGCAGATTAAGAGATTGCGCGAATCGTGAAGCGCTATCAAGGGTATAGATTTTAGTCGAGCTTGCCAAGAGGAATGGTGACGTTGATGGGTGGGTTCGGGCCTGATCGGGTCCGCTGAGAGCGCCACGTGCTTGTCTTTAAATGGGCTAAGGGACCCGCCCATGTGGCCCACAACAAAAAAAATAGAACGAAAATTGGGCCCACAACGTTGCTACTTTTTGTAGTCTGGATTTTCTTAGGTATGCTAAGATAATTGATAGGACTTATAAGCACAATTTTCCCCGCTTCAAATTTAAATTTTACTTTTATGAGATGATAATTAATTTTTTTTTTAAAATAAAATATCAATTTTATCCTTCATAAATTATCACTTTGTCCTTCTTTGTCTTAGCCGCTCCCCTAATGGGAAAATATTTACACACGGACGACGCACACAAAGTTGCGGGCGTAATAACTTCTCAATAACCTCTGTTTCAAGGTTATGATTATGAGGGGTTATTAAGTTATTAATTTCAATAACAAATAAACCCAATAACTTTCCAATAATCTTCACAGGTCTTATTTTGATGTTATTCATATGTTATTACGAAGGTATTACGGGGTTAATCAAGTAAGCACATAGAGCTGCATGTGTTTTTCCTACCCATATATATTCTTAATAAAAGTAATAAAATTTTGATGATTGATAAAATATATTTTATATTAGGGGACCCCTCGAAACTAATTATTTACAAATCAACCATCATCTCTCATCTATTTTTCAAATTCTCGCTAAAATACCAAAATTCATGGTAAAACTGCAACCCATGTTTTCATTTTTATCAAATTCTCAAAAGTTTTAATAATCACATTCAAAATTAATCAAATAAATGATTAATTTGTAAATATTAATATTTTTAATATTTCAGTATGTAATTATCCCTTTATATTAAAGAATAATCTTTATGACTGAGGGCTTTTTTTGAAAAAAAAAATAATATAAAGCTTTTAGCCCATGTTGAGATTTAAAGAGTAATAAGAATGATTATAACGATTAGATTGATAAATAATTATAATATAATTTTAAAATTAAAAGAAATTACTAAATAAAATATTTTTTTAGTATAAATTAATTTTTTGCGTTTAGATAACACAATTTAACAAATTATAGATGTATTCGTTAAAAAAATATTATTATCTTTGAGATTTCAGTAATATACGTTTGAAGATTAAAAATATTATTAAAATGAATGGAGAAGGTTATTTTTGTAAATATTATTTATGAATAGAGGATATGTGAAGAATGTACTAATTATAGAGCCCATGAAACTTCAATATTTACATTAGGGCTGTCAAAACGGCTCGTTGCTCGCGAACAACTCGTGTTGGACTCGTTAAAAAGCTCGTGTTCGGCTCGTTCTCTAAGTTAATGAGTAGAACACGAACAAAACAAACAAAGATTTGTTTGTTTGTGTTCGGCTCGTTTTGGCTAGAAATACTACTAAACAATTATATATATATATATCTTTGATGAGTAGTATTTAAAAAAACACGACGACGAGCTAGATAGGATGATCCGACAATATCGATGAACGATAGTGGCCAGATGACGGTGGAAGCAATAGCTCAGCAAAAGTTCGGAATGGTGGCGGTGGCCCAAATTCAATAGTTTGACGATGGTGGCCTCATAGAAGTGGTGATGGCTGAACATCAGCTAGATGACAATCTAACCGTGGTTGTTTGATGGAGGACGACCGTGACGGTGGCCTGACAACAGTAACGACGACGACCTGACAACTGCAGCAGCGGCAACCCGAAAATAGTGGTGGGATAGTGGGAGTGACGCCGGGCAACAGTAGTTCGGAGGCAGCGACCCAACGATAGTGGTCTGACGGTGGTGGAGCTCAAAAATCCGCAAAAGCTTGGAGTGCCCTCAATCTACTCAGCCAAATCTCGATCCCCTTTTAAGAATAGAACGAGGGTCTATTTATGGGTTTTTTAGAGTGACAACCTCCATAAATATTACATGAACTTGGGTCACTCCATCAGACTGCTCGAAGTAATTCTCTTGATCAGATGTAACTTTATAAGTATTTGAATGTCTTAATAATGTCATAATTAAATGATCTTAGGCTCATTAGATTCGTCTTGTAGAAATACTCGATTTAACTATAAACTTGTTAAATTTCGAGATCATTTGGTTCCCAAATATATCTCAAGCATCTTTTTTATGCTACAAGTGTATGATCTGAGCTCAGTTTGACTCACATCGAGCCAGTTTTAGGGACATCAATATTCATGTTCAGTGACATACAAGATCACGCGTTCGGCATACGTGAAACGTTTATGATGTAAACTTTTATTATTATATAGTCGTGCATTTATTTTAGTTATATATTTTGTGTAAACTTTTAAGTTTACCTACTTCTGTTAAATTTGCAAATTTTTCGAGAAAAATATGGCTCCAATTGAGGTGATGATATTTCCTCAAAGATATATAATTTATAATATTTAATATGTGTTTTGTAATCATGATAAAAAAATACATATTTTGTTCGAATTATTTAAAAATTATGATCTTTGTATATAAATATTTTGGATGTAAATAATTTTAATATATATAAATGAATATGTGATTATAACCTTCAACTCTATTTTTATATTGTTATTGATGACTTAATGTTTTGTATAATAAAAATTATATAATAAAAAAAATCATTCTAAATAGATCTTGGGCAAAATTTATATTATATTCTCAACTAAATATAATATATTATTATATATAAATTATATCAGGCTGGGTCATAACAATAAATTTATTTTAATGTTCAATATTAAATTCATATCTTTATGCATATAGTATAGCTCTAAATATAGTTAATGCAATCAAAAATATTTAAAGAGGAATTTAAAAAAATAAGTAATGCTTTGGGTTTATTATCAACATAAATAAATTGAGGATAATTCGATGCATAGGTGTGATAGGTGTAGATATCTAAGATTTATTATGTAATATAATGAAGATATATATGAAGATAAAATTTCTAATGATAAGGCAAGATGAATAAAATGAGAATTGTGTTAAATTTTGTGCCACAAGATCATGCAATATAATAGTTAAATTTTGTAATATTACAATTAGGCCTATGATACATTATGAATCAAAATCTAAGTTGGTAATATATATATATATATATATATATGTATATATATAAAGATTAGTCAGAGGCTATGATACGAGCCTCCAACCAAGCTCATGTGTCTAACAACTCGACAGATCCGTACACCAGCGAAATCAAAACTCTTGACCCAGGGGACTTAGAACTGACATTGCAAATGCTAACCAAAGACCTAGGGATCAAAATGCGCGCGCGGGGGCGCACACACACATACACACACACACATATATATAATAATAATAATAATAATAAATGTGGGAATAACTAAAGAAAAAGGATAAATTATGAAATTTCTAAACTAAGAAGATGAAGAGGCATCCATTCAAGATAAGATGAATTAAAATAAACTAAAGATCTCTTAAAATGTATAATAAATGGTTAAAGAAACATATCCATCATCATCTAAGTTAATAATTCCATTCAAGTAACCTCTAAACCTCTTGCCAAATGTCTTTCAATTTTTTTATCATATGACGTGTCATTTAACCGGTTTATCTTGACCTAAGATTTGTAAGGTTCTCATGATTAAAAGGGAGCATTTACATACATACCACTCAATTCCTATGCATTTTTTTTATCTAACAACTAAATTTTACTTTTTACATTTATACCATCTCAATAATATATATATTATATATATATAAGTTAAAAAAATAAAATATATGTTTTCATGCATTGAAATGACAAAAATGGATGGAGATCTTTTATCAACTATGAGGAAATTGACACACTTACGCATAACATAGTATTTGAGGGTGTAGTTTTCTCGGACGAGGTCAGGAATTTGAATCACATATATTGCTCTTTAAGCCCACCTTTTCCAAAAATAAAATTACGGTGGAATTACTTGAGAAAAAGTGGGACCCATGTCCAATGAAGATGGTGTCTTGGAAGCTTCGTCATTAGCAGAATGCTTGGCGATTTCCGCTAAGAATTATGTATTAATTTCATTTATTTCTTTTGAAGAAAAGGCAAAAACATCTGTGTTATGATATTCATGGTCTGTTTGGGGCAATTACAGTTGTTTAAAGAGGCACTGCTACAGAAGAAATTGTTCTTCAAAATGCTGAGATGACTGTAACAAATCTATTCTATTTTCAAAAAATCAGATCGTGTCTTTCTGACAGCTATCACACTTAATTAGTGAGCCTCAACCAGAGAACAAGTACACACCATCGTCCTAAGCAAAATCATGATTTAGCAGTCCTACCAAGAAATTGAATTTGAATCCACGAGATCTAATTTAGGCTAGGGAAACCTTCACCACAGCCTCCAAAGGTTATGCACATTAATCACAGGCACGGTTGTGTTTGGGTAGCCACTTTACCTTTGACTTGGACATCAAGTCTATAATAACAAATCCTAGGTTGGGGGCACCTCGAATAATCATTCACGTCAACATCCCGAACAAGGTCGTGGTTAGATGGCCATCATATAAATCATGGGATTCACCAACTCCTAAATTTAATTGTTGATGCGACTAAAATAACCCTCTTCAAAAAAGTAGAATTCAAAATCCCTAAACTTCTGTTTCATTTTTGGCTATAGGGTCAATTGTTTTTGTCTCATTAATGAAAGATTTACATGCAAACCACTCTATTCTTATATGTTTTACATATCTAACACCTAAACTTCATTTTTCAGACAAGGATAGATAGAAATGTCACTCTTTGTTAAAATGGAGAGAGTTTTGATGGCATGAATAAAAAGACTTCCAGGTTTTTCATGCAATAGAAATAATCTGCTTGAGCAGTCTATGCTGCATTTAGGTTGAATTATCTAATATGAAAGGATGAAGATTCAACAATAAGGTTTGTCACATAAATTTAAGGAAAAAATTGACAATTCTGCAAAAATCTATAAGAAGCAAAATAAGTAATATAGAGATGAGCAAGCCTCGCACTTCAACACAAAATAAATGCATCCTCCAGAAAACTTCACTTCAAGCCCTCCATCATGGACTAATATAGACAGCTAAAAAGACTCTCATATGCCACTATATGCCACACAATTCTTGTGTATTTACACAAACACCCAAAGTTTTAATAATTTTGCGTATAACATCTTGGTGTCTTAAACCATTGCAAGAAAAAGGTGTACCACACCTTTAAAAAATAGAGGCGGTGTTATCTTGTATGTAATGTTAAAAGTTTTAATGATAAGCATGTAAATATGAAGTTTTTTGGTGTTATGTGTAAATACATAAAAGTTGTGAGGTATGTATGAACGCATCCCTAAACATTTTGGCACATTCTGACTTGTAAACTATACTTTAAAAACCATTTGAAATTTCTCCAGAAAAAAAATCTCAAAGATTTAATAACTTTTTTTTAAATTTCAAGCAATAGATTTTCATTTATGTAATCTAAATCTCATTTAAAAACATTTCCTACATTCACTACAATTAATTTACTAACATGATGCAACCATTTGAAAAAATTGGCGATTTAGGGTCTGTTTGGGGCAGCTGCAACTTGTTAAAAAATATCTGTGAATCTACTAAAAAACAACCTGATATTCAAAAAGTTGCAGTGAATATTATAATTTTTTTTTAAAAAAAATCCGACCGCAACTAAAAAGCTGCCACCGCACCTAGCTAGAACCGGTGGAAAAATAGAGAATTTAGTGGTAGCTTTTTAAAAAAGCTGTAAAAACTCAGTTTACCCTAACAGATAAAACTGTGGTGCAGAATCTCACCGCCACCACATAACCGCCCCAAACAAACCCTTAATACTCGAAGTCCTGCTATTATAATGTCATCCTTAATGACATTTGTTATGTATGAACTAAAATATCTCAAATACACTTAAAAAATTGAAAGATGATTTACTATAAATTATTATTATTAATGGATTATACTCAAAAGTTGAACAAAATGAATAAAATCTTAAATACATTAATATCTTAAAAAAAAATCAATATTATAGACACAATGTTACATAAAAAAAAAAAACTTGTGAAATACTTTAAAATCCATGAATATTTATCATTTGATAAAGGCTTAGATGCATATAATTATTACAAATATGTTTATAAAAAATTTCTCATCACCTAATAATTAAAATTTATTAACCCATATTCTACTCCAATAGTTGACGCACATGCATCATTTATTCAATATAATCGATTCGAGTTGAATATACTACTATATCCTATTTTAGGGTGTAACTGAGTTGAGTCGGCTCAAGCATCGTTCATTAAAGAGCTCGCAAATCAAACTTATCAAGCCATGCGCTTGAGTCTGTCAAGGCTCAGATAGCTGGCTCGCAAGTTGACTCGTCTAGCCGCCTTCCTGTCACGTCAATGCCTTCCCTAGTGAGTTGCCCCCGCATTTCTCTCCTGCCATCAATCACTCATACAGCTTCTCTGAAGAGCTCTCATGGCAATTTCAATGGGAGCTATACGAGCATGAAGATGGTATTGCAAGGCGAGCTCAAGCTCAAGCTCAAACTTATATGTTTGACAAACGAGCAGAGCTAAGTTAGGCATAACTCGAGCTCGATACAACTCATTTTCATCCATAATATCCTAATTCATGCAATGCATGCACAAAGGCATAATGATGCAAAATGGGATGATGGGAAAGTATATTAAGAGATACAATAAATAAGGATCAGAAATCAAAATTGATCAATTTGTATGATTATACAATAACAAAATTTAGCTACACATTTATCATTTCATGATTCATGCATATATTGGTTCATAAATCATGGTTAAAAGAGAGGATCAAGAAAGGGTACCGGTACATGCAGTCACTGGCTCAGCACCAACCTTTCGTTTAGTGCTGTACTTCTTTGTTATGAACCTGAAAGAATGGGAAAACGATAATAACCAAACAGCACAAAGTCTGCAATAAAAAGAAGGGCATTTACACACATACCACCCAGTTCCTCTATATTTACATATTTAACACTTCAGTTTTACTTTTATATTTATACCACTCGTATCTTTCATATCACATCAAAATAACCACCATTTTAACTTATAAAAAGTGAAATACACCTTTTTATGTATAGGTGAGGTGGTATGAGTGTAAAAATTCGAGTCTAGCTGTTAGATATGTAAATACATAGGAATTGAGTGGCAATGTACGTAAATACTGCTAAAAAGATATCCAGAAATTTACATATATACTACACAATTCTTATGTATTTACGTATCTAACACCCAAATTTTCATAATTAAATTTATAACATCTTGGTGGTATAAGCATATGCATGGAAAGGAAGATTTCAATTTTAAAAAGACAGTGATAATAGTATTTTTGATGTAATGTTAAATATTTGAGTGGTATGCAGATAAGCATGAATGTTTATGTGTTCGATATGTAAATAAATAATTGTGTGGCATGTATGTAAATGCCCCAAAGAAATAACAAGTAGCCATTCAGATTAGACGCTTGATATAAAATAAATCAAATTTATTTGGAACTTAAAATAACTCAGTTATGTGAAAATTAGAAGTAACTTCATCCTACGAGCCTGCTATTAATAAAAGATTGTTTTCATGATAGGAACATAGAAAATTTAGAATAATATTAGATGCAACATAACCGCGGTTTCAAACTCGCCCTCAAGTAGGGGTCGAATAAGTCGAGGAATCAAAGCCAAGCTGAGTCAGAAAGTTGTATCAACGAAAACGGGACTGCTGCTCAGTCCATGATGGCAAAATGGCCAACCAGCTGAAGAAAGGTGGGAGACATAACTTATCTTCATTCCACCTTCTATGTTCCATCCATAGTTATCGTTATTCAAAAGGCACCCACTAACTCCATCACCACTTAAACATGTTTAGGTGCATTTAGTGCTAGTGCTAGCGGACCCAAAATCTTGATATTTGGTGTAAAATGGGAAAACGGTCAATGTTATGTCCGGTCAACGGTGATGATATGGCCACGTCACCGCACGTTTTGCGTGGTCGAATCGACGTCGGTGTCCGGACGTAATAACTTCTCGTAAAGAGGACTGGTGAGCAAATGTAGCGAAGTTGCAAAACTCCTTATAATAAGAGAGAATTTATAGTGTATGTAAGATGATAGTTTAGATGGCATGATAAAAGGAAAAATATTTTCACACATCCTAACCCATATATGCTTTTGCTATGGCTCTTAAATTAATTTGAGTTTCATACATTAGATAACTAATCTATCTAATATTTTAACTGATAGTATCACTCTGAACGTGTAATTTTGGGCTTCTAACATGTCTTTTGTATATTGAAAAATGTTTAGATTATGCAAGCTATTTTTTATAACATCCATGTTCTTGTTTCTTAATTTATAGGGAAATTTAGCACACAGTTCTTTTGTATGTATATATCTCACACCTAAACTTTCATGTTTACATATATGTATGACATTGTTGCTTTAAGCCTATCCATGAAAAGGTGTATATGACTTTTAAGAAATGGTAATAGTGCAATTTTTTATGTGATAATAAAGATTTGAGTGCCAAGTGTGTAAATATTAAAGTTTAGGTGTGAGATATGTAAATACATAAGAATTGTGTGCTATGTATGTATATGCCTCTAATTTATAATGTACATGCTTAAATATTTGCAAAAATAATTCATATACTGAAAAACCACATTGACGTGTTTATAGACATGTTTTGTTAGCATGCTATGGTTAATTTTTAAATCAATTTTTGAACGGTGCTAAAATTGTAATTTAGTAGCATATAATGAATTTGTTACACCAATCCCTCAGATCAATTTAGTCTTTTGTTATTTATTATTAATTAGTATAAATTGGGCTAATAAGCATATGATTAAGGTTACGCATGAGATTGTTCTCTTTGAGACTTAAGATTCAAGTTTAGGAGAGATTCCACCTCTCGAACTGTAGGATTTGGAAGAGATCGCCAAATCTCAAATTGTAGCTACTTATATTTTATGTATTTGGAGTAATAATCGTTGATTTGCTTTCGGCATAATAAAATATATATTATTTATGACCTAATTTCTCTGAAAAATCATCTCTGTTCCTAACAAATTGATATCAGAGCATTCGGCTCTAAGAGAAGAAAGATTGGGTGTGCCCTGATCACGATTTGAGAGCCAGAGTTTTAAACAGTCGCGATTTGGAGTGAGTGGAGACGCCAACATCAGTATTGCGGCGTAGAGGGCCAACAACAAGGTCGGGATGCCAGCATCATTGTTGAACCCACGTACATGAATTCTGATCATGGCTTCCAAGATTTTGCGCAATTTCCAATAGTTTTACACCAAACAACGTACAGGAATTCAAAGATCACGATGTCCACAGTTCAGCGCAAGCTGAATCTGCATACAAAAATTATGAAGCTCAAGATTTCAGGAAAAGAGAGTTCTGAAACCATGCAAGGTGTAACGGCGGCCAAGAATGTATATATGATTTGGAGAAAAACTTGGAAGAAGATGTGAGCCAAACCATATTGAAAATAGAAGAGCATTTCTCATCCATAGAAGGGGAGATTCATTGCTTTGGAAGAAATTATGAAGATCGCAAAGTCCTACAAAAATCCATCACAACTTACAATGGGATCAAGCAAAGGAATTAGAAGCCAACTCGAATGGCAAGCCTTGGAAGGAATAATGTGAAATCCAAATAGCTAGAACGAGCGCATACGACAGAATGGGACAACGTGGGATTTAGTGCAAAAGAAGATCGATTTAAAGGATTTCATCCCGCGATAGGGAACCATGGTGGGTGGGACCGTGGCTAAGAGTTGCATCTGACAGCGTCAGTGCCTTTTATTACAAGAGCTTTTTGGGTAGAAAGAGAATCAAGAGCCTATGAGGAACAGTTAGTTGCTTTTGGGGCAAGCCAGACTTATGTAAGAAGAGAAAATAATATGAATCGAGGAATGGAACCCAACCCCCGCTTTATGGGCAAAATGAACTTTGAACAAAAAATTTGGGAAGGAGACTTACACAAGAAAATTGAAGATGACGTTCTTTGAAGTAAAGGATGCCTCTTGTTGAGTTTATCGTGTGAACATATACTTTGTTGTTAATGAGCTGAAGGAGGAAGAAAAATTGATGGAATAGTTCTAGCATGACATCAATGAAAAGAAAAAACATCACTCAATCCGAACATAGAAAGAATTCAAGGACTGATTGTTGGAACGGTTTAGAACCACACGGGAAGGGTAATTACACGAGCAATTTTTTGCATTGGTCTGGAAAATATCCGTCATGGAGTATTTGGGAAAATTTGAGGTGCTATATGGTCATTTGAGAGGGATATCAACCGAATTGTTGAAAGGCAACTCATGAAAGAGTTGAAGCCAAATATTTGAACATCACTTTGTCTACTGAAACCGTGAGGATTGGGAAAATTTATGAAATTAGCGCAGTTGGTTGAAAATAAAATTCCAATGAAATAGGCTAATATAAGCAACACAGATAGGCAGTATACTAAACTACTACAACAACAACGATATCAAAAACTCAAATGGTGGAAGTCCGGAGGGAGACTTCATGGGACAGAAATAAGGGTCCACGAACAGGGTCGAACTCAAACACCATATAGAAATATAAATTTAGGAGAAGCGATCAGACCTTACAGATTCTCACAGCGTGTGATGAGTAGGCGGGATACAAAAACAAAAAAAGACTATAGTGGAGGAACACCCTCACTTAAATGTGATAGAAGTCTTATTGAGCTCGATGGTGGGATTAACACCGAACCACACTATGAAAATTCAAAGACAGGTCAGAGATCAAGACTTAGTTGTATTGATAGATAGTGAGGTCACCCACAACTTCAACTCTACTTAAATAGTGAAGCAATTGGGGCTTGAGATGGACATGGGAAATTTTGGAGTTATCATGGGGACAGGACGGGTGAAGAAGAACGAAAGAGTTTGTAAAACAATGATTTTAACATTACTAGACATTCAGGTGATGAAAGATTTTGTCTCTTGAATTTAAAAAGCACTGACGTAATATTGGGTACGAAATGAAGCAATCCATATGAGAGACTACAATGAATTGGAAACTTTTGATCATAGAATTTCAATATGCAGATAAGAAGGTGTTTCTTCGTGGCGACCATAGTTTGTGCAAGACATTAGTGTCACCGGATCCATTGAAGGAGGCTAATAAGTTTGAGGGGCCACTTCCTAAGACTTGGAAAGGGTTGAGAAGATTCATGAGACTTATAGAATACTACCGAAAATTCATGAAGGGTTATAATTAGTTTGTGCAGTTGTGGATGAAGAAATTGAAGAAGGATAACTTTCAGCAGGGGAAAGTGATGGTCAGGACTTTTGAGAGGTTAAAGGCCATGATGAGTGTCTTAATGCTGACGACAAAAACCATACTTCTAATTTTATGAGTGGGATCCACATTACGTGATCGAGTAACAGTTTCTTTTTTTCCCGCATTGAGGACAAGATATCTTTTTGGGAAGGAGTATTGTTACTCTAGTCCCTAAGGGCAATTTAGTTTATTGTGCGCCCAAGAGAAATTTAGTCTTTTGTTGTTTATTATTGCTTGGTATACATAAGGGTAATATGATTAGGGTTAGTGTTATTCATGATTGTTGTCTTTGAGCTTAGGGTTAGGGTTTGGGACCTATCGGGTTGTAGGATTTGGGGGAGAGTGCATACTTCTTGAACCGTATGTGCTTATCTTTTATGTATACAGAGTTTTAATCGTTGAATTGCTTTCAACAGAATAAAATATAAATTATTTTTGTCTTAATTTCTCTAGAAAATCACCTCGGTTCCTATCAAAATCTCATGCAATCCATGCTTTGCTTATTTATCTCTACTAGTGCTTTGCTTATTCGGAGCTTTAATCGTTGATTTGCACTCAATT